ATTAAATAAATTAAAAAAAAATAAATTAATTAATAAATAATAAATACACAATCAACTTACCGTGCTGAAGCATATGAGCAGCACTATCACTCACAAGTGCGGCTACTTTAATTGATTGATCCTTTAAATCATTTAATATTTCTTCTATTTTTGGTATAACATCAATTGCACGTCCTCTATGATCACTTATATCTACTGCTTTCCATATCAAAGTTTCGCCAGAAGGTAATATAATCATAATTCCAAGTAATTCTTGATTTACAATATTTTTCAAACCATCGAATGAAAGAGTAATACCAGCTTGTTCATGTACCTGGTTTAACTTTTCTTTACGTAATTGTTCAATACCTTTAATAGCTTGATCTAATATTGGACCAGCTAGTTGCTTTCGATCTGGCAACTTTAACTTTGGATTTAACCAATGAAAAAAAGCATGTGTTGAAGGATTATTAACCCATTGAAATGACCAGCCATTAGATACTGTAATCCTAATTAAAAGATCATGGAATTTAGGAATTTCGGATTTATTAAGATCACGTACAGCAAATTTGGATATTGATGATTGATAATAAGATTCAGATGACCGGCGACTTAAATTAAATGATGAGGACATAGAATTTGTACAAAAACTTGAAATAGATGCACTATCATCTGTAAATACAATCAAACAATTAATTAATAAACATATTTTTTTAAAAAATCTTAAAAAAAATACATATGCTTACCATCAATACGTATATGTTTAGATGGTGGCATTTCTTCATCAACATCACAAATTCCAAGTATTTCCTCTGCTTCTCCTTTATATTTGTCCCAAAAATATTTACAATTTGTTAAATGTTTTTTAATTCTTTCCTTTCTATTTACTATAGGTTTGGCATAATCTTTTAAAACCTCAGCACAACAATTGCAAATACATTGACGGTCTTTGTCTCCTGAATTAGTTTTTTTCAAAATTGTTACATATGTAGAAAGAATATGCCTAGGTCGGCCTTCCACGTGGCATAAGTTAAAATATTATTAAGTTTAAACTTTAAAGTGTAAATGTAGTAAGGTTATAACTTATAAGCAGAGTATAAAGAAAAAAAATATTACGAAGTTATGAACAAAAGTAAAAAAAAGATAATCTTGAAATGATCTACATATAATCTCTTAGTCTTACTAAATATGGGTTTTGGACAGTATTGGACAATTTTGGACAGTCCAAAACCTAGTTTTGGACAGTTTTGGACAGTTTTGGACTGTCCAAAACCCATAGAACTTTTGGACAGTTTAGGACGGTCCAAAACTAGTTTTGGATCGTCCAAAACTGTCCAATTCAAAAAACCAATTGGACAAGTCCAAAACCAACACTGCTTTGGATTATTTACCTGGATCCCTTACTTACTGTTTTGAATCAAGAAGCACGAGATCTTTTTATTTTAAAATCTTCAGCTCTTTTAGATTATTTTCCGCTTGAATTTGAACAACATTCTTTACCCATTTCACACTTAACATTTATGGATGATTCTACCCTTATTGCTTCTTCAAAGTCTGGAATTGAAGATCGCCTTTCCATTACTGCTGAATTCTATACTTTAAATAATGTTCAAGCCAATTCGGCTAAATATGTTATCTTCCTCCCCTTCATCGAATATTATTTTTGATCTTTTACCTCTTCTTTGGTTACAGTAACTTCTCTTTCTCTTTCTTCTTTAGCTTTGAATACTTCATTCCGCTTTTTAGGTGTTTGGTTTTCTTTATCTGCTTCTTCCCAATTTGTACTTGAACAAGCGTGCTCTATGGTTAAAGATATGGCTGCTCTTCTTGGTCCAAAAAAGTTATTGGCGCAACATGTGGCCTATCTCTATAATGCTGTTCTTCTCCCGAGATTGGAATTTCGTTTGCAAACTACTCTTTTTTCAGAAAATACCATGTTCTCAGTTTTACGGAAAAAAGCTGGACTTGCTACTACTACTCCATTGGCTTTGTTATTCCTTAAACTTCTGTTTTCGATTTAAAATGCCTTTTATCGGTTCCTCTCTTCCCACATTGCATCTTGGCAAAAATATTTACACATCCTGATTTCAGGAATTTTGCCTTTTATGCTATTTCTTATCTTCAAGGATTTTTGGGCGCTGAAAGCTGCCTGACTACTATTAGCTTGGAACCATGGTCTCAAGTTATTTCTCTTCGAACACATATTTTATTTAATTCAATTCTATTCTCTTCATGATTGAATATCACGTGGTCCCTTCCTTTTTGACCTACGAGGTGGGATCTACAATCAGCTCTGCTGCTTCGATCCATTTTACCACATTCGATTTTTCAGACTGCTTGAAAACTCTGGAAAAATTCTGGCTTCCCCTTGTGGACGTTATCTTATGAATTGGTCTGATCTTCGGTACCTTGGTATCGTTGGCCGTAAAGGACAAATCCCTATTTGGTTTAATTTTATTAAAAATAATTTTCTTTCTTCTTCTTTTTCTTCTTTATTTTTGCCTTTGTATTTTATTAATTCTTCTTTTACTTTAGCTTCACCTTGTTTATTAGATCATACTGTTAAAGATTATCATTTTTATCCTCAATGGGCTATTAATTTTAATTCTGCCACTCAAACTTTATCTGTTAGTCATGTGTGTATCACCTACAAGAAACAAAATTCTGCTATCATGTCTCATTGGCTTACTGTATTTACTCTGGCCGATAAACTATCCTATAATCCTTGCCCTGGTTGTTCTTTTAATATACCTGCTCTATCCAAGAAATCTGCAATTAAACAGCGCTGTAATAGTGAAAAATGTTTTTTCAATGTCAGTTTATCTGAAACGGTGGGTTATCCTACCAGAAATGCTAAAGTATTTGCGGCTTATCTTCCTATAACTTTATCTACTTCATGGAGTTATGCTACTTCTTTGGCCCTTGTACATTTGACAAAATTGTCATAGCCTGCTTCCTCCGCCCTTTCCTCTCCTTCCACAACAAGGATAGAAGATGATGCTTTACCTCTTTCTGTGCATACCATGTATACCGATGGTTCATTCTTTTCTGCTAAGGACTCTTCTCCTCCTTCTATGACTTCTGCTTGGCTTGCTCTTGATGATAATGAATTTATACCTGACTCTTCATCTTTGTGCCTCCCTTCATGCTTTCCTTCAGCCTTGCGTTCTGATTGTAGTCAGCTAATCTCGCTATGGGCACGCTTTGTTGATGCTTCATCTTCTTTGGCTTTCTATTCGACAACTTATTATGGATCGTAATCTTAAAATCGATTTGATTAAAGTCCCTGCTCATGGCGATGACATCTACAATATACAAGCGGATTTTCTGGCCAAAGATGCTCATTCATCTTTACAACCTACCTTTTCACCTTTGACGTTCTGTCATGCTCCATGTCTATTGACTTTTAATTCTTTGCCTATTGACATGAATATTCGTCATTTCCTACGCTCCATAGTGGATGCTCGTGCTCTTTTGTCATTTTGCTCTATGGCGCGATTTACTGCACTTAGCTCCCCTGCACTCTTTGACTGGGCCGGTATACATTTTTGCCTTTTGCAGATTAAAGGTTTCGCTTCGCATAAAAATGGTCATCCTGAATTCTGGATCTTCTGTATCAAACTTCTCTTGGATATGTTGCCTACTTTGACTACTTTACAACGACGCATGCCTCATTTGTATTCTCTGGATTGGTTTTGTCCGCAATGCAACTCTGCTCCTGAAGACTTGAACCATCTTTGGACTTGTCTTTATATCCTACCTGATCTCAATCCATGTTTAACACATCGTTCTGAAGTTATTAAATTTAGAGACTCCTGCTTATCTTCGTTCTTGTCCTTGAAGTCCTTGGATATTTCTTTCCAAACTGGATTCTCTACTTTAGATTGTTGGGACTACGATACCCTTCTCCGTCCTGTCTTTGGCTCACTAGAGGATTGTAAACTGCGCATTTAACGACATTTCTGAAGCAGTATTTTCCTCTCTCTGTTATCTACAAAACTATTTCTCCTCTTCTTAATGAAATTTGGTTATGTCGGAATGTTTTTTTCCATGCTTGGGAAGAGTCACAAGGTATCTCGGCTGCTTCCAAATTACGTGGCCCATCTTCGCAATCTTCATCTATTACTATTTCTTCACAATTTCACAACTCTTCTTTGGCGATAGTTTCTCAGAATTCCTGGATTTCTTGGATATCCTCTTCTATAATTCGGGGTGGATCATGATCTCGCACTTGGATTTTCTGCGCCGCTTAACAGTTCAACCTCTTAAGATTTCTTTCTGGTAACAGGCTGGATTTTTGGAAGTTGGATAGTTGACTCACACTGGCCTTCGGGTAAAGTTGGGGTATGCGATTCTGTAATAGTTTAGTTTTTCTTTGCTTTAATATTATTTTAGTTTAGATTTCTTTACTTGTATGAGTCGTGAAGCTACTCTTTTATTTTTTATTAGTTTATTTTCTTATTTTTGTAATATTGTTCAATTGTATTTTCAAAAGTTAAATATAAATAAAAGATAAAGTCAAAAGACTGTTTGCACAGGAAAAGGATAAAACTACCACCATTCGATTCGTCTCAGTGAGACGATTCTAACAAGCTATGATAGATCTTTGTACGATTATTAGATGCCAAGTTATTTAATATATTCTTTATATAACTGTGATTATAAACGGTTCTTTTTAATATAAGATTTTTGAGGATAGGTGTGATAGTGACTATAGATAGATTGTGACTATATAGGATAGATNAATAATAAAGTGTTTTGAACATTCAACTGGTGTGACTATATAGTAGAATGTGACTATAACGGGAGTGACTATAGAGGGAGTTGACTGTATATATATACAAATATCAGACTCTTAGAGTCAAAATAGTTTTGAACTCATTTACCCTTCTCCAATTTAACAAGTTCTGGATGACTGACCTGGAAGGTATACCTGTAAGATAGTTTCCCGCAAGTTGGACTTTACGAGAAAGAAAACAACGTGAAAAGTTCTAAGCTGTAAACTAACAACATTTTTAACAATGTGTGGTGCTAGCACGTTTAAAATTATACAAACAAGCAAAGGAAAGAGGAAACTTGTAGGCTATTTTGAGAATTGGGAGGCCACACTCAAGGCCTTAGATATTCCTCAAGTTTTCCTTATTACTAATAAAGAGTTGAAATGGTGTCAACACTCCGTTCCTATCTTGAAGAAACAGCACATGTTGAAGGCTAAAAATATTCCGAACAAGAAGTCTGGTGGTACTGGACAAAGTTCGAATAGTAATCAGCCTAAGAAAAAGGATAAGAAGTCCTCGACCAAAGCTGCTAAGAATAATAACCAGTTGATGAACCCAAATTCTCAGAAGAAGGCAAAGAATTTCTCAAAGAGTAAGGGTGTAATAAAGGTAACAATGAGATTTTAGCAGAGATTTTTAACTTTATTACGTAAATTAATTATTAATTAGAATATAGTGCATTCTTAGCTGCAGAATTTTTTATATTTTATTTTCTCTATATGCCCGTTGGCTATAGAGGTAGTTGATTCCTTTATTTTTACCCAGTGCATATGGGTTAGACTAGGCGGCGTAGGTATAGCTCTACTCTTTATCCAAGGATGAGGTCTGGTGGCAAGGGATTTAAGCTCCTAGTGCTGGATGCACTTTAACAAAAATAAATAAATAAATTTAATAATAAAAATGCCCAATAATTATAAATGAAGACTCTAATAATGACACCACTCAAAATTAATCTAAAAAATATTGAACTTTCTTTAATTCCAAATGCACTGCTACTTGGAAACAGTTGGATTAGGTTTTACTTTGATCTTCAATACCACCAACCATAAAAGAAAAATACAAGAAATGGGAAAAGATAAGAAAGGGATCTAACTGACCATCACTCATATGCTTAGATATTAAAAACTGCTGTGATCAAAATTTTATAGGAATTTTAGTAAAAGATCTTTTATTAAATTATCATAAAAACGTTACGAAACATTTTTTTAAATAAATTAATTGCCGATCTGCATGGGTGCGGCTGTTCAATGTATCACACACTTGATTGGCCGATCTACATAATTACGGCAAATTTTTTTTTTAAAAAAAAAAATTCTTTTTTTTTTATTCTTGGAAATGGAGACAGATAAGTGTCTCCAAAATTAATTTTTTTTTGTTTTTTTTATGTAAGAATGTTTATTAACATTCTTTTACTTCCTTTTTTTTATAGATTTCGGCCGGAACTTGAAAATGGAGACTGGTGAGTATTTTTAAAAGGAGGAAGCGAGTTTTTTTGGGATTTTCTTATGTAAGAACGTTTATTAACGTTCTTTTACTTTTTTCCTTTTTGTAGATTTCAGCCTAGAAGCTTGAAAATGAGGATCAGTAAGTGTTTTTAAAGGGGAAAGCAGGAGGAGATTTTTTTGTTTTTCTTTATGTAAGAACATTTATTAACATTCTTTTACTTTTTTTTTGTAGATTTCAGCCTAGAGACCGGTGGTGAGTATTTTCAAAGGGGGGAAGCGGACTTTTTAATCTTTCTTTATATAAGAACGTTTATTAATGTTCTTTTATTTCTATTTTTTTGTAGATTTCGGCCTGGAACTCAAATGGGAACTGGTGAGTATTTTTAAAAAAGGGAAGTTGGGTTTTTTTTATTTTATTTATGCAAGAACGTTTATTAACATTCTTTTACTACTTTTTTTTGTAGATTTTAGCCTGGAATCTGGAAATAAAGACCGGTGGTGAGTATTTTCAAAGGGGAGAAGCGATTTTTTAATTTTTCTTTATGTAAGAACATTTATTAACGTTCTTTTATTTCTATTTTTTTTGTAGATTTCAGCCCGGAATTCAAATGGGGACTGGTGAGTATTTTTAAAAAGGGGAAATAGGTTTTTTTATTTTATTTATGCAAGAACGTTTATTAACATTCTTTTACTGTAGATTTTAGCCTGGAATCTGGAAATAGAGACCGGTGGTAAGTATTTTCAAAGGGGAGAAGCAATTTTTTAATTTTTTTTTATGTAAGAACGCTTATTAACGTTCTTTTATTTCTATTTTTTTGTAGATTTCAACCCAGAACTCAAATAGGGACTGGTGAGTATTTTTAAAAAGGGGAAATGGGGGGTTTTTTATTTTATTTATGCAAGAACGTTTATTAACGTTCTTTTACTACTTTTTTTTGTAGATTTTAGCCTGGAATCCGGAAATAGAGACCGGTGGTAAGTATTTTCAAAGGGGAGAAGCGATTTTTTAATTTTTCTTTATGTAAAAATGTTTATTAACGTTCTTTTACTTTTTTTGTAGGTCTAATCAAATTTTAATAAAATTTAATTTAATACTAATAAAAAATGGCTTTAATATCATAAACAAATTACATTATTTATCAAAATAAATTACGTTTATAAAAATAAATTGCCTGTCAAAATACATTCGCAACGTGAAAAGTTCAGTAAATCAGTTCAGTAAAATTTACCGAAACTGATACTAAAAGTATCAGTTCAGTAATTCGGTTCAGTAAATCGCAAAACTGATACCGAAACTGAAATTACTGAAACTGATCGGTAAATTTACTGAAAGGTTCAGTTCGGTAAATCAGAATACCAAAACTGTTCCGATACCAAAACCAATTGGTTTGGTTCGGTAATTACCAAAACCGATCGGAACCCTAGTTTTAAGGATATGATTGAAAAGGATAATTTTAATGCTCACCCTGGGTGAAAATTACCTGGTCATATTTTACGTTTCAAAAATAATAAATAACATATATATTATATAATTTACATTAATAAATCTCGTTTATAACAACAAATAATGTTTTAATTAGTATTTGAATTACATTAAGAATTACATCAAAAATATCTGTTGTTCTCCTCTCCGATTATAATTTTCTAGAACTATGGAAGTATAGTATAATACCTCTATATTTCCCATCCCTAGCATTTGGACTAATGATTAGGTTTTCCGCATAACAGACACCTATGTTGACTCTTTGCCACTTGATAATTTGGATTATTTAGGTTTTCTTGTATTGGGACCCATTTTTTTGATAATTCCATAGTGCTCTTCAATCTTTTCTTTAAGGGAGCAACTCGTATTTTAGTAACATTAGGATTAGTAATCTGCCCAATTAAGTGCTGTTGTAAAGTTGTAAAGGAATAATTATATTGCTAGTATCTTGTCTTGATTGATCTTCTGTATAATTATTCACTTTTAAATTATTATTAGTATAATCATTTCTTTCTGATTGTTTTTCATATTTGGCTGCAATAAAATCTTTTAGTATCTTAATTAATTCTTCATTGGTTTTGTTTCCAAAGCAATATTTATAGCAGTTTTTGCTGTAGAAAATGCAACTCCAAATCGATTTCTTTTGGAATTATTTTGGTGCATAATTTCATTAGGTTGAATATATTCTACTTCTTGAAAATAACACAAACTTTGAAGAGTAAAGTTTTTTGAGGTAGTGGCACTAATAATGTTGAAGTATCTACAGGTTCTATTGCAGAAAGAACTGGTGAATTTTCAAAACTGCAATTTAAATTAGTTATGTTATCTTTGTACCACATATGCGCGAATTGGACTTTTTTCTATAATATCGTCATATGTGATATGTGAGAAATACTTATTTATTTGTATGTGATTATTACGTTATCCTCGTGACAACACGTGTTGTAATACATGAAAATAGTATGAAAACATATTATGATAAATATAACACGGCCCAACTAACAATTTTCTTTCTTTCTATTTTGACAACTCTTTTTCCAAAGTTAATCATACTCCGATCATATTCATAGTCTCATCTTTGAGTGAACTCAAAAAAGGAAAGTAAACGTACTCTAAAAAAGGAAAAACAAGTAAATTTAAAATTTCATGAATTTCTATTTATGTTAATTACATTTTCACCTTAATGAAGCCAATATTAATAACAATATATTATATTTTAGAATACATTTAATAAGCACAAAATATTACAAGAGAATAGAATTTAACCTGCTTTTTTATAATAACCCCTATATTATGATGACATTGATAAACCCAGATTTTATAACTTTTCCGATACAAGAAACTACAAACGAAGATTTAATTTTAGTAAATGATAGTAGTACAAATCATACATTTTTTCATAATTACCCTTCCAATCCACATATTCATGCTGTTCGGGTGTTTGGTGGCAAAAATTATTTACAATCATATAAAATTATATCTCTTGGAAGATATCCTACAAAAGTGAAATATACTAAAAAAGAAAAAGGATAGCTCATAAGATTCCAGATAATTATCAAGTAGAAACAATGTTAAATGGATTAACAGTTTTATGTAAAACACAGTATCAATTTTCGCGTAAAGTTACTGTTAAATATACCATTGAACGGGTGGATGAAAATGGTCAAAAAGAATCAAGATACAGTTTATCATCAGCTGGGGCTGCAAGTTCCTTATTTCTAAACGTAAGTTTAACAATTTTTACAATAGAATTATATTTTTCTTTTTTTTTTAACAAGAGCGCAAAATATGAATTATGTTTTTCCAAGTAGTAACGCTATTTTATATTTATAGGAAATATGCAATAAGCCTACTTCACGTGTTTTTGGTACAATACTTTTCAGGTTTGACATAAGTTTTCTGCAACAACTTCGTGAAACAATTGCCCAACAATCACCTATTACACCAGCTAATCGCAAACAACCCTTTAATGAACTTACATCAAGATCACAAAAAAATAAGCAAATTTCAATGGTTGGAAAAGATATTGCAGCACAAACTATGAAAATTCTTAAAGAAAATAGATTTACATCTACATCTGAAGAAATTATTACAACTGTTGAATCAATAATACTTAGGATTAATGGTGAAATTGTTGAATTACATTTTGATTTTAATAATGCAGCTGATGATGACATTAAATATTTAGATTCAATTGTTCGTGCATGTGATGAAACATTAATTTCACGTGATGGGTATCACAGATTAGCACAAGCTATTCCTAATTTAACAAGAGAACATGTAATTGAAAAACGCGAAATGAAATTACAAAATCAATGAAAATACTTGTTCCCTTAATATTTGTAGTATTGCTATTAATAATTATGGAGATGAGAGTCAGCAAAATATAGTAAAGTAGAATTTGATGATGAAAAAGTGGGAAATGGTGCTTACCATTCTATTACATCTCTATTAGATATTATAGTTCCAATCTTGGCTACTTCAACATCTCCTGTATTAAAAATTGGTAATAAAATTAATATAAGAATAAGTGGAGATGGAAGAAATGTGGGGCGCAAGCAAAAACATGTTATGCTTACTATGTGCATTATTAATGAAGGTGAAATGGTTTTGAATCCTACACATCAATACAGGTAATATTAGTATATTTTTTAATTTATGATTTATGATTTATAAATTAATTATTAATTTAAAGTTTTTTTATTACAGCATTTGCTTATATATAGGAAAAGAATCTTATGATTCCTTGTCTACAGTATCAGCCATATTTTCACAAGAACTTGAACAATTAAAAACAAATGGATATAAGGCTTCAAATAATACAATTTGGCCAGTTGAATTTTTTTTTCAGGTGATTGGAAATTTGTAGTCTTAGCCTTAGGAATTAATGCACCGACATCCAATTATTTCTGTTTATATTGTGATTGCCATAAAGATCAACGATATAACATGGATTTAGTATGGGTAAATTCAAGAAATACACATGGTATATAAAATGTATTTTTGTTATTTTTTAATAAATAGTTATATGATTTTTTTTCATTGTATACTTAATTATTTTAACAATAATTGAAAATTATTATAGGATGCAAAAACACAATGCTTTTTCAAGCAATTGATCAAAATAATTGGATCCCTGATGAGTTGCATCTCATGTTACGAATTTCTGATGTACTCTTTCAATGTGCAGCCAATGATAATTACAGATGAAAAGACTTCACATTCATTTTGAATTCTATCTGCCTACTACAAAAAATGGAAAATGGGAGTGGACATCTCTTATGGGTCCTGACAAGAAAAAAATACTGAAAGAATTTCAAGTGGCACATCTTTTTGGATGACAATCTACAAAAGGACAAGAAATTGAACAGCTTTGGCATGAATTTTATCAGCTTTACAAAATAATTCGCCAAAATCAATAACAGATTTGGAAATTGACCAGTTTGAAGCTGACGCAAAACAGTGGATTCATAATTTTTGTCGTCCTACTATTGGTACTATGAATAGTGCTAATCAGCAACAGGGAATGTATTTGTGCACAGATGTCTCCCCATACATGCATGTGTTCGCTCAACATGTTCCCCAATTTATGCGATATTTGAATCAAAAAGGAATGGTATTACGATATTTTTCAACATCAAGTATTGAAAAAAAAAATCACTAACAGGTAAATTTGTCAAATGATTAATAAAAATTATATATAATTAATTTTAATAATCATTTAGGTGTGATTATTCTTTGGAGGAACTAAAATGGGTGGGGTAAATCAAAAAAACCTGTAGTTCATGATATTTTATATTATGAAAACCGGCAATTGTATTATCAAATGCAAGATACACCAATTAGGTATACAAGAAAATCAATTGAAGTTAAAACTTAATTATTTTTTTTTAATGATAACAGCTTTATGTATTTGTCATGAGAATACCAGATAAAATAATATTTAATCAATTTTCGCAAATCATTTTTGGCCGGTTGATCTAATGGATTAATAGATAAATAATCCATTAAATTATCTGGCCGATCCATTTTTTTACGTTTGTATTTTTAACATAAAAATGCATATCATCAAAAACAGATTTTTTTAATAAAAAATAATGCATTTTTCTTAATATTTTGATTTTTTTAACTACATGTAATACTTTTATATTTTATTGTTTTATTTATTGATATCATTGAAATAATAATTATTAAACAATAATTGTTCAAAAGAAAAAAATTCAGCAGACATTTTTATATTTGTGTAATAAAATTTAATAAAGGGGATTATTTTTTTAAAAAAAAATTATTATGCAGAAATTTTCGTTTCGGGAAAGAGTTACAGATTTATTTAATAATCAAAATATTAGAGAAGTTAGAAGGGTTCGTAAAGAATTACATGACTGGGATCATTATTTTAAAGAACCATTGAGTAGTGAGCATTACAAAGCTAGATGTCATTACTGTAATCAAAACTGGTTTAAAGAAAAACCAGAAATTTTGAAGTCACATTTAGCATTGTATTGTAAAGATGTTCCACTGTATATTAAAACAGAATATATGGAAATGCTGGCTGTTGGAACTACATTTACTATGAATAGAAAACAAAAAACAGATTCTGATTCATCAGCTGAGCTTACTGCGGATAGAAAAGATAAAATCGATCAAGCACTTATACGGTTTTTTATTTGCTGTGGAATACCATTTTCAACCATTGGTCATCCTTATTTTATTAATTTTGTTCAAAGTCTCTGTTTTGTTTATGGTCTTCCTAAAAGAACAACCATATCAACAACTTTCTTAAATCATGAAACTGCTATAATTTTAAATAAAATCAAAGAAGAACCCAAATATGAAAAAAATTTAACATTAGGTAATTTTTTTTTTTTTTTTTTTTTTTTTCCCTCCCTTTTTCCTTTCAAATTTGGTAAATTTATGTATAACTCCAATTTAAGTTTAATTATACTGTTGCTAAATCAATTATATATAGCATTTTGATAATATGAGATTTTCATTTTTTAAGTTTTTAAGCTGTACTGAATCCAATTCCAATGATGTATCACTAAACTCTACCATTTGATCTTCCTGTGAATTTGTTATATTATTCTTCTTTGATTGTTGTTTATTCTGTTTTAATTGCTTGATCTGTTGATGAGGGGATTTAAAATAACGATCCATATTTTCAGATTCATTTAATTTGTCTTTTTTCCAATATTTTTAGCCTTTTCCCATGCATTAGTAGTATTACATCTAGGCAACCAAATTAGTTCCTTAAAGTGCATGATGAAGGAATCCAAAAGTGATGCCAAAAATAAAATGTTTTTTGACTCTGAGAATCCAAATATTTGTTTTGATATTTTGGAAAAATTAGTGTCAATCTTAGCTTCCAAGGCCAGTGAGCAAAAATCAAAAAATTTTTTATCATCATGTTGTGTTCCTAGTATCACTGGTCAAAAACTAATCAGATATGTACCTGATATGTGTAGTATTAATGCTGAAAATCGGGTACCTGATATGTGTAAGATATGTGTAAATATATATATCATATACATATCAGGTACTGATATGTATATGATATGTAAATGATATATAGACGATATATATATTTACACATATCTTACACATATCAGGTACCCGATTTTCAGCATTAATACTACACATATCAGGTACATATCTGATACATATCTGCTACCTAATATATTAGTTTTTGACCAGTAACTCTCTCCTGAATTTTTCAATAACGAAAATTTTCGACGAAAATAATTTTTATTATTTTTAAAAAAATAATACTAGCTACTAATAAATATTTTATATTTTATATATTCCCAACTCAAAGCCCTCTACTATGTCTGGTAACTATGCCAAGAGAGGCCGTGGAAGTCATAACCCTAACAGTAGGAAAGCTTCCCGTCAAGAACAAAAAAATAATAACAACTCCGATAATTCAAGCTCCGATGGTGAAAACACTATCCAGCAGAAACGTAATCGTACGATTACCGAAAATTCTATGGAAGAAGACTACGTTGCCGATGACCAGACGGCTGACGTTGGAGTAGATGGACCTTCCTATTCTCCTCAACAAAATATCTCTGGCGAAAATACTTTGGCCTCCTCCCAGAAAAAATCTGCTGCGCCAACTGCGACCAGTCACGTAGCGTCTTCTGGAAATGTGGACGCGTCCATGCATGCACCTTCAAACAAAGACTTGCAACAACCCCCTAACACGTCGCCCAATTTGGATACTAATGGTGCTCCTGATGGCGATCAAACCCCAGATCCAGTGGTGACCTTTGCCATAACCAGAGATGATTTTCAGGCTGCGGCTGCGCCGAATGCTGCCCCTGAATCACTCAAGAAATTCCCTACCAATAAAGCCCTTATTGAGGCTGTGAATAACCTTTTCTTAGAAACGTACGAGTCATTCACTGGAAAAGCTCGTATAACAGGTTCTGGTGAGGCTAAACGCCTCGTTATCCACTTCCATACCGCTGAAGCACGCGAACTGTGCGTTGGTTCCTCTCATCCTGAGTTCCCTGACTTGATTTTTCATGCCCATGACCCTCGCCAACTCCGATCCAATGAAGATCTCCAGGCTATCCAAGTTACCGATATCCCTTTCTTTATCAAAAAGGACAACCTCATGGCCTATTTCAAAAAATTTAGTAATATTACCTCTTGTCGCCTCTTCTCCAGGCCTAATGCTAAAGTCCAGCAAGCCCGTATTGTGTATGATCACGCCGATTCAATTGCTCATTTTACCGACCAATGGGCTGTATACTGTTTCTCCACCTGTCTCCGAATTACTCCATGTTTCTATACTGTGGATCAAAAGGCTGCGCGCCGTCAATACGTTGCCACCCTCACTCAACTTCCTCCCAATGTTAAGGATATCAACTTGGCTCCTCTTACACGCGATNTTTTTTTAACAAGAGCGCAAAATATGAATTATGTTTTTCCAAGTAGTAACGCTATTTTATATTTATAGGAAATATGCAATAAGCCTACTTCACGTATTTCTGGTACAATACTTTTTGGGTTTGACATAAGTTTTCTGCAACAACTTTGTGAAACAATTGCCCAACAATCACCTATTACACCAGCTAATCGCAAACGACCCTTTAATGAACTTACATCAAGATCACAAAAAAATAAGCGAATTTCAATGGTTGGAAAAGATATTGCAGCACAAGCTATGAAAATTCTTAAAGAAAATAGATTTACATCTACATCTAGTGTTCTGAAAAAAATCCGATCTGATTCGTATCCGCAGATCTGATCTGAAACGGATCAGATCAGATCAGCTTTTTTATGATCCGTGATCTGATCTGAATCAAAAAAATTTGATCCGTTTCAGATCGAATCGGATCGGATCAGTTATTCATTCAAATCGAATCGGATCAAATCAGATACGAACGGATTCAGATCAGATCCGGATCGGAACAGAATCTTAGAAAATAAAAAACGTTTCTCGCAACGTTTTTTATTAAGACAATTAAAAACCGTTGCGAAACGGTTATTTTTAGTTAAATAAACCGTTTCGCAACAGTTTATATTAAAATAATTTAAAAAACCGTTGCGAAACGGTTCTTTTTAGTTAAATAAACCATTTCGCAACGGTTCTTTTTAGTTAAATAAACCATTTCGCAACGGTTCTTTTTAGTTAAATAAACCGTTT